AAGGGGAGGGGCGGGGTAAGCTTTAATGATGATGGAGAGGAGGCATTGGTCATATACCTGAGTCAAGTTTTGTTCATCGCCAGATGAAAGCCAACTTCTTCCACCAGATTGCCTCCCAGCTGCTAGGTAGCATTTTGTGGTACATCTCAAGCGCCAGGTTGGGATAATAGGTCCCTTTCAGGTCTTAAAGACCTGGGTTAAGAAGTGAGAACAGAATTGTCTACAACTATAGAGAAGATGTTACCTATTTTAGGTGAATAAGCGTATTACGTAAGCACATGGGAAGAAAGGTTAAGAAGTCTAAGACCGTAAGTTTCCAGTTGTAGAAGCCTCTTGAAAGCGGAAAGCCCCTTTTTGAAAAGTACAGGCGGTATGATCTCCTCTAGTGGACCTAGCACTGGGTTAAGAGTCCCTCCAGACTCGTCACTGCAAGTCACTTATCTTTTCTAGGACTAAGTTTCTTCAATGGGAGATGAGGAGGTTGCACTAGATGACCTCGAAATTCCCTTCCAGCTTTAAATTCCGTCTTGTGACACTTGCTAGACTCGTTTTACTGGCCCTGGCGCTTCCCGGCTCCTCCCTTCCCTGCTGTGCCCGCATCCCGCACCAGAGGGCGCCGCAGGAGGGCCCGGGACAGCGTGCGGTGGGCGGAGAGGCAGAATCAGAGGAGCCTGCAGGAGGCGCGGTGATTGGCCGCCGCCGGGCGGGAGGGGGCGTGGGGAGGGAAGGGCCGAGCTGCGCGGTGACGTCGTGACGGCGGGGGCGGGGCCGGGCCGCAGAGCGTGTGACGCTGCGGCCGCCGCGGAGCTGGGGATTAATGGGAAAAGTTTTGGCAGGAGCGGGAGGATTCTGCGGAGCCTGCGAGAGGGCGGCAGTGGCGCCTTAGGCAGCCGGGACAGGTCAGTCCGAGTCGGGGGAAGCGGGCGGAAAGCGGCGGTGGCGGGAAGCGGCGGGCCCGGACCGAGGCAGCCCCCAGGACTGGGGCGCAGGTCCCGGTGGCGGGGAGCGGGTTGCGGGGTGCGGGGAGCGGCCGGGGTCCGCGAGCAGCGTCGCGGCGGCTTCCAGATGCTCCGGCCGGGTCCGGTCAGCAGTCGTGCGTTGCAGTGCAGGCGCCCCGCCGCCTCTGCGCCCCCCGCCCTTGGACCCCCATAGCTGCTTGATTAAGTACGAAACACTGGCCTCCGTCCACTCGACACTGTGCCCCCTCTTGGGCCTCTTCGCCCGGTCTCCTCCTACTTATGAGAACCCCGTCAGGCCCGGGGGGGCCACTCCCATTTTTTCCCCTGTCTCTGACCTCCACTTTCTTTACCCCTTTCTGGTGTTCCCTAATCTGTTGCCCTATCTAGGGTCTTCTCGGGGATCTTTTCCTCTGTACCCCTTGTCTCCTGCCTTCATCCTTCCATCCTTGCTCTCCTTCCGCATCCCTGTCCCCTTCTTATTCTGTGTCCTAATCCCTCCTAGTATTATGGAACCCCATCCTCTTCCCCAGGGTGTTACTAGACTTTTTCCAACTCCGTGCCTGCAGTCCCTGTCTCCCTAAGCCTCTCTTACCTTGGCTCCCTGAGAGGGCCTGTTTTTGCTCGTCTTTCCGATTTCCTTCCTAACAGCCCTGTCCCCTGCATTCCTGTCGTCCACCTTCTTTTCCCTCCCTGTTCCTTTCCCCTGCTTCTGGGAGAAGCGTTAGCTTTCACTTGACTCTGCTTTCACTTGACCTGAGGTTGACATACCCATGGGGTGGGGTGGAGGTGTTCAGACCTTGATCGAATTAAGAGGCTGACTGACTAAAGGAAATAACAGATATATCTGTGTGGGAGAATTGACTTGGGTATTGCGTCAGAGATGATGTCCAGTTTGTGGGCCATTCTTCTCATCTCAGCTTTAATACTTCCCCTTTATGGGCCTGTTGACTTTCAGGAACCCTTGGGAAGAGACGGCGCTGAGTTGGATGTGTGCCACGGGTAGCTGGAGGCTTTGTCCAGTTCTTCTCCCCTTCCAGGAATCAGGGTTTTGTGTCTTTCCACTCTGGATGTATGGAATACGTTTATACCACGATACCCCAGCCTCTCTGCCCTCACTCCCAGCCTCCACCCTGTGCTCCATCCCAAAGGGCTAAGAGCGTTCTTCATAGCTGTGCTCCAGAAAATGTTTGTAGTCCTCAACCTTTTTCCTCTGTGCTGGCTCCAGAACTTTTTTTTCCCTGTTTGAGTTTTGAAATAGATTGCTGGCCTGATAGCCCTGGGGCTGGCGGGCATCTGTCCCTTTTGTTATTGGTGGCTTGAAACGGCTGCTGATTTTCTCTCCTATCTCTTTGACAATCTTTGACCAACTGAATGTGCCTCTGACGTTGGTCACTGAACATGTTCTCTTGGAGTCTTTTCTCCCTCTTTTTCTTTATTCTTTTCTGAATCTAGGGAATCCAAATTCTCCCTATTTTTTTTCCCTGGGAGCTTAATTTCCTCTGTATGCAAGAGGAAGGGCAACCCCAAAGTTCTGTTCCCTTTGCCCAGGCATAGTGTGAGGTATCAAATTGAGAACTACTTGGGAAGGATGTGGGACTGCAGTAGTTAGACCTTGTCAGGAACCTGACCAGGCATATCTGCTTCCGGTCATGTAGATCATCTTCTCTGAGGCTCGAGAGCCCACCACCTTCCTGGTGTGTCTGGACGTTAAACTTACCAAGCAGAAAATTCTCTTCATATACTTCAGTTTGAGCTCCTTTATTTGGTGTTGGTTCTCTAAAGAAATCTTTGAGAACTAATATATCCGTTGCTAAGTCTTCAAGAAATAACATATCCTTTGTTTCACCGGGTAACATACCCAATCTGATCTTGGAGGATTCTGAAAGTGTGACCCAGTCTCACATTTAGAAATGAAGGCTTGTCGTTTCACCTGGCTCCAGGTTTCTAGGACTTCCCTTTTGAGGGTTGTGCTGTCTATCTTTGAGCCCAGATTGGACACAGGAGTTGGCAACCTTCAGGAGCTGTGATGGAGAGCCAAAGGAACCAGCTTGACCAGACTTTACCGTTCTGTAATCCTCTCGTGCGCTGTTTTCTGTGAAAGCAATAGGATTGTGGATGGCCTGTCGTTGAGCCAGTCGCCTCTTCACTGATCCCAAGACCCTCTTTGCAGCACTTGCAGGGATTTGGGCAGACTGGACCAGAAGGTTTCCTTGTTCCTGTGAATAGCATCTCTCCGGGGTTTTAGTGGATCATTCTAAAGAGGTTGAGGTAAAGTGTTGGGGGCAGATTTTTAGTCTAGTCTCTGGCTCCCAAGAAGGACCCTTTCTTACTCTTCTGAGCAGTTTGTTACTCCTGTCTGCACTTACCCCTTAGTAGGGCTCTCTGCTGTGGTGGCAGGTGAGAGGTTTGAGATCAGGTCAAGGCCAGTCCTTGTGGAGCAGCTTGGGCACCAGCAGCCTAGCTGGAAAGTTTCTTGCAGTTTGTTCACTCTGTCGTTTGCTGAGAAGGTAGTCGTGATTATCAATTACCAAATTCCTTCCCATTCAGTGATTTTTGCAGAGCCTGGGTCTAGATTGTTTTTCTTTATTTTCTGACACAACGTTTTGTTCTGTTGCCCAGGCTGGAGTGCAGTGGCAGTATCATAGCGCACTGTAACCTCGAACTCCTGCACTCCAAGGGATCTTCTTACCTCAGCCTCCAGAGAAGCTGGGACTACAGGTGCATACCACCACACTCACTAAATTAAAAAACGTTTTTTTTTTGTAAAGACAGGCTCTCACAATATCTGGAACTCCTAGCTTCCAGCAGTCCTCCCCACCTTGGTGTCGCAGAGCACTGAGATGACACTGATTGCCAGTTTGGCTGCCTTTCTCCTTGCCTCTTTGCCACTGCCTGCTTGTATAACATGCCTCAACACATCCGGGAAGAATTGTTCCTACTCATTCTTTCAACCCCACCTGTGGTCCTTTCAACCCCTTCCCTTAAGGCCTGGTAAGAGGATAGCCAGTATAAGGCAGTGGCCTGGAAGCCATTAGGCCTCTGCTTTGGGCCTACAGCTGTCCTGACTGTTGTGCAAGCTGTCTTCAGGGCCTGCGGATCCTGGCACATCCTGGGGTAGTGCAGCTTCTCTCTCTCAGGAGTTGGACCTGTCACGTCTAAGGGCTTCAGCTGTATTCTGTCTCTGAGGCCCACCTCTCTGGGTGCCCCCTACAGGCTGGGAAGCTGAACAGTGGTGCCTTCCTCGTGTGCCTCTGGAGGGCCTGGAAATTGCGGGACCCAGCTCCACTGCCCAGCTTGGAAACATCCTCTTCTTCCTCCCTACCCAGGTCTCTGTGGGTTTTGTCCGTTCTGCCAGGCCCTTGCCTAAATGATGTCAGAAGCCCTGTGCCTGATGCCATTGTCTATGCCATGTGGTCCCAGATTACCTAATGGCTGCTTCTTGGAGACAGTTTGACATCCCTGAGCATTTTTCTCTGCCTTTGGAGCCAGCGGGAGGAGCTGCTTGCAACAGCAGAATTCCAGGGTGTCAGAGGAGAGCTTGGAGCTTACCTTGAGCCCGGCAGGGAGAACATGGCCCCTTGTATCCGGTTTCAGACATGTGGGTCTTCTTCCTTGACACATGGCTCCTAGCCTTCATAACTCAGCAGGCTGGTAACTAGGATGTGACTCCAGTTCAGTCTCCAGGGGCTTTGGTGAAGGAATCAACCATGACTCAGGACATCTTCATTTATGAGCTGCTACCCATGGGGGGTATTGGGCACCAGCTCCTTTCTTACCTTGCCTGCTCCTTCTGCCTAACCTGACAAAATCAGCAAAGCCAGTGTCTGCTTACTTGGGAGTGAGCAGACTCCTTCCAGGATTGGGGAAATATTTGCTGACTCAGGCTCAGAATCACATCTCAGGGTGGTGTGTAAGGGACGGACAGGGAGCCAGATTACCTTGGGAGCACTCTGTGAGTTACAATGTTTATAACTTATTAGAGTTGCTTTTAGGGCCCCTGGCACCTCTCAGCTAAAGCCGATTTTTTTTTCTGTCCTGCAGTGTTGTACAGTGTTTTGGGCATGCACATGATGCTCACACAGTGGCTTCTGCTCACCAACAGATGAAGACAGATGCACCGATGAGGTAATCCCATTTTCTTTACTCAGGGGTCTCTGACCATCCACTAACACGTGGTGCAGATTTAAGATCCTGACCTTGTAGATGAAATAATTTCACTAGGGCTAAGTCCCAGATTGCAGGTTCCTGTCACAGCATCTGGTACCAGTTGCTTATGCATAGTCTAGGCGTTGATTAAGTAATTATCAAATGTCTATGGCTTGCATAGTTTTTTCAGGAGCACGGAGATTCCCACCTTTGTGCCCATTAAAAGATAAACTCCACAGGGCAGGGACTTATTCTGCTGCCTTTGTGTCTAGGGTAGTGCCTGGCACAGAGGAGATACTGAATAAATATTTGTTGAATGAATAAATGAACAGACTTTTGTCTTTGCCTATATGTGTACCTAGGGTGCCAGGCCACTAAGATGGTGTCCATCATTCTCTCTTATTTAGGGAACAAATACATATACATACATGTGTGTGTGTGTGTGTGTGTGTGTGTGTGTAAGGATGGTTTAAATTAGATGTCTTTTTTTGAGATGGGGTTTTGCTCTTATCCAGGCTGGAGTGCAGTGGCACAATCTTGGCTCACTGCAACCTCTGCCTTCCAGTTCAAGTGATTCTCCTGCCTCAGCCTCCCAAGCAGCTGGATTACAGGCATGCGCCACCACACCCGGCTAATTTTTGTATTTTTAGTAGAGACGGGATTTCATCATGTTAGCCAGACTGGTCTCAAACTCCTGATATCAGGTAATCCAATGGCCTCTGCCTCCCAGAGTGCTGGGATTATACTGTGAGCCACTGCACACGGCGGGAACAAATATTTTTGAGTGCCAATTATGTGCCAGGCACTTTGGGAAATGATAATAGTAAAAAACAGATCCAGTCTCTGCTCTGCCTTATGGGTCTGTGGTTTGCTGGTATATATGAGAGCTGGCCATAGTATACAGAATTGTTTCTTCCATCTCTGCAGGGGTAGGGAGTTCTCACCAAGAGTCTGAACAATGCTCTGAGTTTCCCATTGCTGTTTCCATGTTCTCAGGATGCCTGGCAGATTTATAAACTCTCGGAAGTGGAGCTCCAGGGAATACAATGTTCATTGTCCTATTTGGAAGGCAGAGTTGTTGTGGGTCCCTGCTGGGGGCCGGGGGAAATGTGGGCCTCCTGTCTGATTTGTTTTAATCTCTGAAGTTCAGTGGTTCCAGTAGCTGTCTGTGGGCTTCACTTCCCCTTTTCTGCCTTTAACACCCTGCATGTTTTCCTGTTGTCAAACAGGGTGGTGAGTCCCCGTGTCTCCCTGTCCGTGTGGGTCAGGTTGTTTGTGGATCTTTCAGGAAGGTCCTGGGGTTGCGGGGGGTCCCTCCTGCTCTCATACCCATACCAAGTGCTTTCCTCTGAAGGGAATGTGAGGGAGGAAGAAGGGAGAAGTTTCAGAGGCTTCTGAGGTTCCCCAAAAGGGAAGAGGTTGAATTACCCCCTGAGCAGGGAGAGCTACTGAGTTGAACTGATTTGCTTTGTCATTTGATTTAGCAGTAGCTAGGCCCAGTGGCAGCAATTGTATATGCGTTTCTGGGGGTCATTTGTCCAGTTCATCCCTGAGCCTTGATCTCCCAGGTGCAGGTAGGAGCATCTTGTCTCCCCTCCCCTCCCCTTCCCTCCGCTTTTCTCTTTTTTCTGTTCTCTTCTTTCTTTTCTCTTCTCTTTATTTTCTTCTTGATGGGGTTTTGCTATTATATTCTTGCCGTTTCTGGGCCACATTGGAAGAAGAATTAATGTCTTGGGCTACACATAAAATACGCTAACAATAGCTGATGAGCTAAAAATAAAGTCACAAAATAATCTCATGTTTTAAGAAAGTTTACATATTTGTGTTGGGCTGCATTCAAAGCTGTCCTGGGCTGCATGTGGTCCATGGGTTGTGGGTTGGATAAGCTTGGCCTAGGCAGTCCTCTCACCACAGCCTCCTAGGTAGCTGGGACTGCGGGTGAACACCGCCATGCCTGGCTATTTGTTTTTTTTTTTTTTATTAATGGGTACACAGTAGTACCCATTATATATTTATGAGGTACATGAGATGGTTTTGTTCTTTGTTGTTTTTGTTTGTTTGTTTGTTTTTGACACAGATTCACTCTGTTACCCAGGCTGGAGTGCAGTGGCATGATCTCAGCTCACTGCAACCTCCGCCTCCTGGGTTCAAGCGATTGTCATGCCTTAGCCTCCGGAGTAGCTGGGATTACAGGTGCGTGCCACTACGCCTGGCTAATTTTTGTATTATTTAGAGATGGGGTTTTACCATGTTGTCCAGGCTGGTCTCGAACTCCTGACCTTAGGTGATCCATCCACCTTGGCCTCCCAAAGTCCTGGGATTACAGGCGTGAGCCACTGTGCCCAATCAAGATGTTTTGATGTAGGCATGCAGTGTGAATAACACATTCTAAAGAATGGTGTCTCCATCCCCTCAAGCATTTATCCATTGAGTTGCCAACAATCCACTTATAGTCTTTAGGTTATTTAAAAATATATAGTTCTTATTGACTGTAGTCATCCTGTTGTGCTATCAAATAGTAGGTCTTATTCTTTCTATATATTTTTTGTACCCATTAACCATTTGTACCTCACCCTGAAACTCCTCACTACCCTTCCCAGCCTTTGGTAACCATCCTTCTACCCTCTATGTCCATGAGTTCTATTGTTTTGATTTTCATATCCCATAAATAAGTGAGAACATGCGATTTGTCTTTCTGTTCCTGCCTTATTTCATTTAGCATAATGACCTTCAGTTTCATCCATGTTGTTGCAGATGACTGGATCTCATCCTTTTTTATGGCTGAATAGTTCTCCATTGTGTATATGTACTATATATTCATCTGTTGACTCAGGTCACTTCCAAATCTTAGCTATTGTAAACAGTGCTGCAACAAACATAGGAGTGCAGATATCTCTACAGTACACTGATTCCCTTTCTTCTGAATATGTTCTCAGCAATGGGATTGCTGGATCATATGGTAGCTCAATTTTTAGTTATTTTGTGGAACCTCCAAACTGTTCTCCATAGTGGTTGTACTAATTTATATTCCCATCAACAGTGTGCAAAGGGTTCCCTTTTCTCCACATTGTTACTAGAATTTATTGCCTGTGTTTTGCATATAAGCCATTTAAAATGTATTTCTTTAGAGATAGCATCTTGCTCTGTCACCCAGGTTGGAGTGCAGTGGTGCGATCTTGGCTCACTGCAACCTCTGCCTCCTGGGTTCAAGTGATTCTTGTGCCCCAGCCTCCCGAGTAGCTGGGATTATAGGCATGTGCCCCCACACCCAGCTAATTTTTGTATTTTTAGTAGAGCTGGGGTTTCACCATGTTAGCCAGGCTGGCCTCAAACTCATGATCTGCCTGCCTTGGCCTTCCAAAGTGCTGGGATTACAGGTATGAGCCACTGCACCGCGCCTGGCTTATTTTTTTATTTTATAATGGAACTCTGTTTTTCCTAAATGTTGCAGATGAGTTACAACAAACAGAATGACAAACATCAAGGAAAACTGTCACTCGGCTCCTTTTTCACCATAGCAGCTATGTGGAAGCTGCTGCAGCTTCAATAAGGGCCACTGATATAAGCTATTTTAACTGGGGTGAGATGATATCTCATTGTAGTGTTTTTTTGAGCTGGAATCTTGCTTTGTTGTGCAGGCTGGAGTGCAGTGGCATGATCTCGGCTCACTGGAACCTCTGCCTACCAGATTCAAGCAATTCTCCTGCCTCAGCCTCCCAAGTAGCTGGGACTACAGGCGCCCGTCACCATGCCTGGCTAATTTTTGCATTTTTAGTAGAGACAGGGTTTTCCCATGTTGGCCAGGCTGGTCTCAAACTCCTGACTTGAGGTGATCCACTTGCCTCAGCCTCCCAAAGTGCTGGGATTACAGGCATGAGCCACCATGCCCAGCCTCATTGTAGATTTGATTTCCATTTTTCTGATGATCAGTGTTACTGAGCACCTTTACATATGCCTGCTTGCCATTTGTATGTGTGTTTTTTTTTTTTTTTTTTTTGAGATGGAATCTTGTCCTTCTCACCCAGGCTGAAGTGTAATGGCACAGTCTAGGCTCACTGCAACCTCTGCCTCCTGGATTCAAGCAATTCTCCTGCTTCAGTCTCCTGAGTAGCTGGGATTACAGGTGCCTGCCACCACGCCTGGCAATTTTTGTATTTTTAGTAGAGACAAGGTTTTGCCATGTTGGCCAGGTCTTAAACTCCTGACCTTGTGATCTGCCCACCTCGGCCTCCCAAAGTGTTGGGATTACTGGCATGAGTCACTGCAACTGGCCTCTATGTCTTTTATTTGAGACAGAGCCTTGCTCTGTTACCCAGGCTGGAGTGCAGTGGCTCGATCTCCGCTCACTGCAACCTCCACCTCTCGGGTTCAAGCAGTTCTCCTGCCTCAGCCCTCTTGAGTAGCTGGGATTATAAGTGCACCCCACCACGCCCAGCTAATTTTTGTATTTTTTTTTAATCCAAAATGTGTTTATTGAGATGGTTTCCCGACTCATCTTGATTCAGAGTGCTTTTAGCACTGCTTCCTCCTGAAAGAACATCCTTCTGTAAGCCTTGTTTTTCCTCCTGTAGGCTGGCAGAGGACAGTGGAGCAGCCAACACAAAACTACCATTTGTGCATGGCTGAAGACCATGGTGATTTTATAGCATCCTGGGCATTTCACATCCATGAAGTAGGAACTGGGGCTCAGCACCAGGCGTTTCTTCCTGCGTTTCCTCTTCTCCTCTTCTGGAGAGGGATGACGGAGATCCTTTGCAAGAGGCATGTTCTCAGTGGGTAGGTTGTCCAATTTTTGTATTTTTATTAGAGATGGAGTTTCACCATGTTTGGTCAGGCTGGTCTCGAACTCCTGACCTCATGATCCACCTACCTCGGCCTCCCAAAGTGCTGAGATTACAGGCATGAGCTGCAGCACCTGGCCCTGTATGTCTTCTTTTGAGAAATGTCTTATTACAATCTTTTGCCCATCCTTTGATCAGATTATTAGATTTTTTTTCCTATAGAGTTGTTTGAACTCCTTGT